GTGTCCTCCAGCAGAAAACTGACTCCAGCAGCAGTAGTAGCTCCCCGCGGAAAGAGTAGAATCTGAAGATCCTGGTGTGCGTGCCTCACAGCAGTCCTCTGCGACAGTGGAAAGAGTCGCAGCCGTCGCGGACCTCCACTCTCACACACACGAGGCTACAAGAACCTATTATGGATATTGTGATATACCCCAGCAAGGTGGCAGAGAGGCTGTGTCCTTGACGCCAATCAAGTTGGTGACACTAGTGTAGTGGACGCCCTGGAAGACGTGAGTGCTTCCGTGTGATGAAGAAGGTGACAAGATGTTGTAAACACTGGCGCTTATGTGGCCAACACACACAGATAAACCGCAGAGTATGCAGGAGTCCAGAAGATGGCTGGGTACTGGAGATGACCAGGATGGCTACGATGCCAGACAGTCAGGAAGGATCCACACGAGAGAGTGAGCTACTCGTCAAGGCAACATAGAATCCTACAGAAGTAATTCCTCCGCATATACAACGCACGTTACATACCAACCGGCACATAACAGATCTACGATGATCTACGACGTACAAGTGCAGTGCTACTGAACATTGACTCATAATGGCTATGTGCTAACATTTCCATAACAAACATACTTCTATTAGTCTACACAACATGAAGGGTTGCTCGTCAAGACAGTAGTAGGATGAGGTGTTCTTTGGGCCACACCGGTTAACGGTACGTGACTGAGTGACTTGTTGTCCTTCTTCCTCGAAAGACGGATGCTGCTGCGTTGTACAGCCGTAGCCGACTTGCACTTTGTTTGGCAGATACAAGATCCAGAACACGAATGCGTCAGGCTTCCGTTTGCCGCTGCGTTTCATGCCTCTACGCTTTCCCTCCCTGTCTACGTCACCTTCGTCTTTGGGCATGCTATCTCCCTTCTTCGCATCTTCTAAACCCCTCCGCCTCGTGCACCGTCCGCGTCGCAGGACGGCAGCCCGCGTGGAAGTGGGAGGGGAAAGCACCCGCCGATGGCGCACCCGTCGGTATGGTAGCCGTCTCGGGCGGCCGCGGTGGCGGCGGTGGCTTTCCAAGAGTCCTCGACGCTTTTCATTTACCAGGCGGCAAGCACCGGCAGGAACCCGCGACACCGGTAGCATCGACGGCAGTACGCATGCGACAAGAAAGCGCAAGGATAAGACGAGGGCCAAGTCCCTCGCTCTCTCGGGCACCGCCGGCGATGGTGGAACTGGCACGAGAGCCACCACCAGCTGCCAATAGTGCAGTCATCTTGTCCCGACCAGCGTTGTCCCAGATCTCCCGACAAACAAAGGCCACGACGAAGCCGCTATTCCGGTTGCGGCCCTGGCCGCTGTTTGTTGTTGTTCTTGCTTCCGTCGCCGACGAGTTGAATATCGGAGATGGTACTCTGGTGTACAGAGTCGAAGCTGCTCAACCTAGCTCGGCCAATTCAGCTCCACAGGGGCTTTCCCAAAGACTTTCATCATATACTTCAAGTACGTGCGTAGCTTCATCTGCTGCTACCGACTTCTTATTTTTGGAGTCGTGTGGTTGGCAACGGCAGCTGCAGCTGCGGTAGCGGCTGGCGGGGGCATCCCGGAGAAGCGCACGTGACGGTCTTGGTGATGACCAGCTTCGACAAGGACACTGCAATAATAGCATCTATCTCCGGAAATGAAGCCGTCGGCAGCAACAGCTAGAGGCAGCTATATCAGCTACTACGGTAGCAACCGGCGGTGGGGCTGCGGAGAAGCTGGAGCAGTGGTTGAACGGTTGATGAGCAAACTTGTGAATGGGCTCTGTGATCATGTGGCCGAAGAATAAGAATTGGGCACGTAGAAGCCATGCACCAATTCGTGTTGCTTTGGTCGGGCATCAACACGCCGAGACACACGACAGTGGAAGGTGATAACGAAGGCCAACGAAAAAAGCATCAAAGAAAGCACCAACAGACAAAAGTCCCTGCCGTGCCCTTTGCTAGCTACAAACATTCGGGAGGATATTTCGTCATGGCCGTAAACATATGCCATTGGCTGGTGGTTCAACGTTGTGTTGTTCTGGGTATCACTTCCGCACCCATTGCTCCAAGTGCCATTTCCGCCGATATCTGATGGATGGCTGGTGCTGCCTTGAACGACGACGACCTCGGTGCTGCAGCGCCATCGATGGTTAATCGGTTTGTATACGCATTCTGCACGAACGGCCGACCAAACCTTGTCACGTGAATGGTTTCGGTACCACCTCGGATCTAACATTTCGTTCACCTCCCTCGGCCTTATTTGGAAACATTCGGAATGCCGTGATGGCTCCTCTCTTGCGGGTCTAGTGCCTCTCGGCCACCTGTTGATGATGTTGGCTTACGAAAGTGTGCTCGGGTCATCATCCCCATTTTTTTTTTTGTCTAGGGTGGGCTAAACCAGTCTTCTAAAGCAACTCTCAATGATTGCCCCGCGTGTTGGTGTGACCAACCCCCCACTTCCCTCGAGGTTTCGGGTCTTCCAGGATTTGCCTCAAACTGCCGTCTGCTCCCCACGGCTTCAACGGTAGTCTCAACCGTCACCCCCTGGTTCCGTCCGACCACACTCCTTGTTGAGGAGGACAACGCTAACAACGTGTCCTCACACACTGGAGCTTCGGGTCGACCTGCTCTGAACCCGACCGAATCAGTGTCGACTCGGACACCGCCCCGCCGCTGCCGCTTGTGAGGCCTGTTCTGCCGTTGCTTCTGGGTGTACCAAGCGTGAGCCAACGGAATCTGGCGCCTTCCACTGCCCGGCGGCCTACGCTGGTTTCTGCACCTACTCCATGCAAAATCATTCGCCGATCTCCGGACCGGTGAAACCCACCCGCGGTTTTGGCTCGTTCGAGCCAGGTTCCGAAGGTAACAAGGACACCTGTTACGTACCGTCGGCAGGACCGCCGCATGGTTCTTCCCGTGTGTGTGTGCCATCGATGATGATGCTGCACGTTCGGGAGAACCTCGAATATTTTTGGGGGGTAAGGTTCAGAGTTTGTCCCACTCTGGTTGGGAATGGGAGAAGCGAACCGGTTTGTGATCCCGCTGTCCGCTACCTTTCGTTTCACGCGCCCTCAGATGGGCGTGCAGCGTGTCTTGATAAGGACAAACCCATCAAGGCTTTCGTTCCACGTGTTGATGCGTTCGTGGACAATGCAGGTAGTAGGTCTGTCGCGCCAATGCGTCGCGTCATCTTGGGGTAGCTCGCACGGTTTGCAATGCCGGGGCGTCTTAATTTGGAGGTACAGGCACAAGCACTACGTGGTGGGTTCGCCCACTGCTTGGCGCTGCCAAGCTTGCGAAAAGACTGGGCGAACGGTGCCACGGGGGGGCTTTTTTAAGCTTACCGTCGCCTTCTGGGCCTTGTGCACCCTTGAGCGTCGAATGATTTTGCCCCCCACCGACCACCCCCCGCGGGAACACTTCCTTACATGCAGCTCTTCGGAGACCATTTCAGTCGACGTGCTGATGATGGTAAAGTCGTCCCTCGGTTAAGGACGCACACAGTTTTTCGTTGAAACAGGCGTCCTTGAGCCGGGGAAATGTCCTTAAGGTTGACCCGGTCCTCATGTTGGACAATCTGCGAGCCAGCATGCCTGTGTCCTTACCCGGGGGCGTGTCCTTTAGATTGTTTTCGTTAACCGAAGGATGACTGAATGTGCGTCGTCACGGCCGTGGAGTTCACTGCCTAAGGTACCGCTCACATTTGCACGCTCACATTTATCTGCCCTTCGAGTCTGAGATGGAGAGATGCCGCCGCTAAGCCGATTAAAAAAAAAAAACGATTCCTCCGCAAACAAGCTTGTGCCAACACTTCAAAGGATGTTGGTTGTGGGTGGTAGTCGGGAAAACATCTCGTGGAGGAAGAATTTTCGTGGACTTGGGCTCTTCTTTCCACACCCACTTGATTGTGGAGCAATCGAGCTTTTAGGAAATCGGTCCAGGGAGGGTGCGATCTCTCCACCTCTTGTGGTACTGCTTGTGTTAAGGAGTGTTGCTGTATGGCATAGATAGGGTACACAGTCGGTCTCCACCCACAGAATTTACCCTCAACTGGAAACCTCTTGTGGCCAGGATGGGTAAACTGATGGAAGTGTCGCAAGGTTCTTTCTAGGATCGACTCCAAGAGGTGTTTTCAGGACTGCCACACGTTGTGTCAATGGGAAAATATCCAAGTCAGGACAAAAAGTGTGCACCCAAGGAGATTCGAACAACAAGTATCTAGCTGACGCCATGTGCGAAGGTGTACCGATTAAGGTGAAAGTCAATCGCCGGATACCCTGCGAATCGGGTCCTCCTTAATACTTGCTCGAAACTGTCGCAGATTGTCTACTTATCATTTCTCTTGTGATATTGATCGCTCGAAACTGTCGCAGATTGTCTACTTGCTTCTCTCTGCGCGCACAGCAGTGGTCGTGTTGGAAGAGTCAACCACACTATGACTCGAATGCGTGCTGCCATGGTTGTCGACGAGAGACAGATGACTCGGACGTCCACCTACATATCCCATACGGAGTCTGTTCATGAACGATTCTGTACCCGCTGCCACAGGGATACCTAATGAAGCGCTCGTTTGACGCCAGCGTAGCTTAAGATTCACGGAGTAGGTCTCTTGCAGCACGTCTATAAGAGTAGAGGTGTAGGATTGATGTGTTTTGGGGGTTTCATCAATCTATCTTAGATTCGTCATTTTTCGAAGTCTTGATTTAACTCACCCAGTCGTTTCGTGAGGCATCTACCTGGATATACTAACGTCCAGGGCGGAACTTGTAGTGTTTTCGAATCTGAATACAGTATGGATCTGAACGCTATTTCTAGGGAAATACTTCTACGGCGACATTGCGGGAGCTGCTACTCCCAAGGTGGCGTAGACTGCCCCTCCCCGCTGGAGGTGGCCCGCGGTTAGTTGGTCTACGGGTTGCAAGGTGTCCTAACACTTGCCATTTTTTACCGTATCATTTTACAATGTTTGTTCACCTGGCTGGGTGAAGAATCATCGCATCACCTTTACAAACCCCAAAAACAAATATTAATTTATAAACCAAACCCAAAACCTAATTTAATCAAATGAAAAAACACCTACTATCCATGTATGCACGCTATTTGAATTTCTTCATCGTTGTCACAAACAAACGAAAGCGAACATTTGCAGTACAGAAAAGGCGCTGCATGCAAGCAATTCCCCATGACACTCGAAAAGACACGGAAAACAATAGGCAGACCAGGACTGGCTACGAGAAATTGCCTCACAATGGTGCAACTACATACTTCGTTCCCCAGTCAGTCATGTCTCCAAACGCCGGGAGTTGAACTACCAAAATTATGTGGTGCGTTATCATAGAGTACGTCGAATTATTATGCAAGAACATCTGCGTGTGTTGGTTTTGTTTGATGATGACCGCTTCCTCTCAAACCCTCCCTTTCCATCCCACCCACACCGAACAAAAAAATCGAAGACTTCGTGCAAACGAACAAATAAATCATGAAATGTTCCGCCCCTGCTTGAAAAAACAAGCATGCATGCTGGACGGATAGCACGGTAAGGACTGACACGTCACAGGGACGACAACGACAATAACAATGACAATAAATACAGTACAATGAGACACCAGGCAAGAAAATCCAACAAGCAATAACAACAACAAGACGAGACGAGACGAGACGAGACGAGACGAGGCAACACGCAAAAAACGCGCGCTTGCTTTGTAACGTAGGGTAAGAGCCACCCCCCGCCGCCTGCTCAGATGACGCAAAAACCTGCATCCACTCCCGGACGAAAATAAATGCGCGCACTTGATTGAGTCGAACGGCAAGCTGCTACAACGAGAACAAGCATTCTTCAAGTTACTCCTCTGGGCAGAGTCGTTGCTGCTCGGAACACGGGGAATCGAAGGAGTTTGCAAGCCCCGTTCTTTATCCGTCCAACCAACAGACACCCCCACGACCGAAACAGAAACAATCGATCCCCTTTCCCCACCCTGCGAGCATATGTATGGCGGCGGGGACAAACATCGATACTACATTCATCAAATCGCCCGCTAGCACAATAATTCCTCCCCGCCTCGTTCCATCACCACGCCTCCCAACATTTGTGGAACGCAGTTCGCTGATTGGTCAAAACTCTTTTTGGAGTCTACAAAATACGCACGTCATACACTAGTACAACAAGTCGGTATTACTCCGGGTACAAGAACACGCAGCAACAGAACGTCATGGAACTAAAAAAAAAAAAAGGGGGAGCCCACGCGGTTGTCGCTCGCGCGTACACCCCCGCGTGAAGGATGCAGCGCACCGTACGCGCACTACTCTCCGATTTGTTGCCAAGCAAGGCGAATCACCCACCACCCCGCCTCGCCGTAAAAAGCTAGTGCACCTAACGACTTCTCGGACCCGCCGTGTGAAACACGTGTGTGTTCGATCGATGATCACCCCCGAGCTAAAACAGAACTACCCAGTATTGATTGGTCTGCTTAATAATATCGGTCAAATAGTTCTAGTATTTGTACTTCAAAAATTGGTATCCAAATAATATTGATAGTAAGTTTTGTTTCCCTAATAGGCGAAATCCCTTCTCTTTAAATTTTGAACGACATATTTGCGTCACTATTGGCCTATTGAACTGCAAAGCTTCTGGAGTCCATGGTCGACGCCGGACGTATGGCAGGCGATATGAGACCCTCTGAAAAAACGAAAACAGGCAGCAACGACCTCCAACAAAGTCATCCATGCGGTTCTCGCAGAAGACGAGGAACAACGTCAAGCACGACAGAAGCTTGACACTACCCAAGTCGACTCCCTGTTCTCGTCCTAATGCAGCAACCACTCAAGTTCACGAAAGAAGAAGTAAAGGAGCACCTTCACACACCATTCTTTCCACACAGCTGGAGAACCCTCCCGCGTGATGGTAAAAAACCATACCCATTGCACCACACACACACAACCGTATTAAATGTCTTGTCGAGAAACAAGTTAGAGCAAAAAGAGCGACACGTACCTCTAGTCTACAGACTTTCGGCGCTAGAGCACGGTGAAGAAAATGAAACAGCCACAATACCTCTTCTATAGTATGTTCAAGTCATCAAGAAGTAAATTACGGCCAAGGTACCACGCACCACACGTTTGTATAATACATTCGTGTTTTTTTTTTTTTTTCCGCGACGAAGAAAACCCCACCCAACTCACCCATAACATATTAAATACCATAACAGAACAAAAAAAAGGTTGTAAGTCAGTACTCCGAGTATAATGATATCGGTGTTCGACCGATGACCTCAACCCATGAATCACCGGACAAGGAACCGTGCCATATCCTTTGTCTCTATCGTGTTGGACGTATGAAGGAAAACCATAAACCAGGAGGCGTAAGGTACGGCCGCCACACGTAACACGGTGTCTTTGACACCATTTTTGTACAAACGCACTCGCCCGCAGTAGCACTGAAAAGTCGGCCGTGACGCCAAGACACGCCAAAAAACAAAAACTTCTCAGACCTCTTGCCCCCGGCCATGAAAACAAAATGCCCTTCGCGACCGGAAATTGGACCGTGAGCTAGCTATCCCCGGCGTTCGAGGATTGCCGCTCTGCAAACGACGGGGGTACACACGAACTCCCCCGTGATAAGTCGAAGAGTTGACGCACGGGAAGGTAACACCATCGGTGTGCACAACGACCGGAACGTAAGAGAGGGTGGGCATGCGCAGTCGTAGAGGCAATTGCAGCATAGCCGACGCCAGGAACACCGTCAAACCCTCTCTCTGCAAAGGGGGCGGCTTTCTACCTGCGCTTCTTTCTCCCGTTCTGGCAACGCGGCCCCTTACTCTCTCTGCCGGCGATGAGACAGCCGTTTTTGTCGGCACGACCTGACCTCCTTGGTGCCTGCACTTCTTCTCGCCCAAGCACCCACCTGTTGCACCTACCTCCCCTCCTCCCTCCGTTTGCGTACCCCCCATGTTTCTCTATCCCCCCCCCCCCCCNGCCACGCCGGGCCCGCCGACCCTCGTGATCGCCACGAGCTTCGTCGGAACTACTCGAAAAGAACTCTCCACCGTGAACTCTTGCTGCTGGTGCCTCAAGCGGTAAACCACAACCTGCGAGTTTGTTTTGTAGGGCGAGCAGCGAGGGATGGATTTGGTGAGTCGATGGACGTGGTGCATGCATGCATCCCGGTAAAGTAGTAAGGACGCAACGCGGGGGCACGCTTTCTTCCTCTCATAGGAAAAGGTATTCGCCGTCCATTTTAATACTGGAACACAGTGTGGGGCGTTCCAAGCCTAACCTAACCACACACTTGCTGCAAAAAACGTGGCTCACCTGGGTAACCTGGTTGCACAGCAGGGCGCGACGAAGCGCCTCGGTTACCCTCCCAGCGTCATCGGGGTGTACGAGGTGGATGAGCTGAACACCAAGGAGGTCCTGCGGGGGAGGGGGGGCACCAGCGGGAGTATTCTCCGTGTGAGCGTGGGTGGGTGTTTCTTGCTACAACAGTAGCCTTGGCAGTGCCGCCTAACTGGCAACAAGGACACCATGTCAGTCTGCTTCTGGGCTTGTTTCATGAATGGACCAGGAATCGAGTTGACCCAGAAGGTGTTATCCGTGCAACGGCGGACATCAGGTGCACCCTGGCCATTACCCCTCCTCTCTTCCGTGCCAAGTGAGACCAAATACGGAACCGACGGTTGAACCACTGAGAGTGACGTACTTCCAAGAAACAACCAAGTGCCAGCCGCTTTAGGGCGGCACTCCCATCCAACAAACACCGATCATCTTCCCGGTAGACGTTCAGCAGTAAACACGACACCTCTGTGTCCTGCCTTCGGCCCCAAGCCCCGTACTAACTCAGAAAGGAAACATGAGGCCCAACTATCCCGACTTTTTTTCAACGGAATCCACATCACGGTCCCTGACCTCGGTTCTGATTCCCAGGGCCCGCTGGAAGGCGTTCGAAGCGTACAGGAACACCGTGCGGTCGTCCGTCGTGTGAGCCGAGATGAGGTCGTGCGCTTGCTCCACGAGCATGCGGTACGCTCCCAGCTCCGTCACCTGCGGACAGGTACGGCGGTGAGAGCGTGGTAAAAGATGCATGAAGGAAAAATCGCAACAATAGCGAGACAAGTCTTCGTTCATCGGCGGGATCCGCGAACTAGGAGTCGGTTTGGCGCTGTTCTTCCCGCTAAAAGTGACGTCTTTTCATGAGCCCACCTGTTGGGGGCGGTCAACGCAACACCCGCAGAAGCCTCTTAACAGTACACACAGGTACGGAGAGAAACACCGAAGACAAAACAAACTGGAATAGGTACACACACCCGATACGAGCAATCTGCAGTAGCTCTGCTGCAAATTTTTTGTCTTATTTTACGTCCGCACGTACACAAGGACCCGTACCACGATGTAGGCACTCAAGTCTGCCGCATGGTAGGGATTCTGGTAAGGAGTATAGTGCCGGAAGGCGCACGACAACACCCGCGTAAAAAACGCAAAGCCCTGCATTTTTGTTTTTTTGGGTCTCCCATCATGGGACTCTGTCGTCTGCCCCTTTGGCCCCTATCCTCCACTTCTACCAGCTAGACGACCCAACCGGGGTCACATAGGAGGGGGGGGTCGGACCCCCTCCTGCGGTCCCTGCCTGATATTTTTATCGCGAGAAGGGTACAGCAATCCCTTCCCTCGCGACTTATGAAGTCGATCAAGTCCTGCATGTACTGACCTGGTTCTTCATGCCTTCCACCAAGGCTTTCTTGCGCTGGCGAGACCTGCGGGAGTGGTCCCTGTTCCTGATCCTGTTGCGCTCTAGTCTTTCTTCCGGGGTGAGGAGTTTGTTGTCCACCTCTCTAATGTAAGGTGGAAGCACGACGGAAAAAGAGCACGGGGGTGGGTGGGGGGGGGGGGGGGGGGGGG